AACGAAAAATGTAAATAAACGCAAATATATAAAGTCAAATGTATTTCTTTTGTATGTATGCATGGCCTATGATTTTTTTTTGTATAATTTGCATATTTATTGCTCGGAGACATTCATTCTTTTTTCGCCTCGTACTCGCAACAGGTGGCAAAGCTATTTCTTCGTTTGTTGTTGTTTTTTTTTTTGTTTTTTGCTGAGGGATTTTGACCTCGTTTTATGCGCAAAGAAAAAAGCGCAAAATGCAACGAGTAGCGGAAACTAGTAAAATGTATTTTATGTTGCTTTGTAATTTGAATAAATTATATTTTTTTTTGCATACGAATTAAAATTTGTTATGAAAACTGGTTTCTTATCGCAGTTGTTTGCGGTTAAGATATCAAACAAAGATGTACAAATTTTGACAAAAACGTTATTTTCAAAGGGCTAGACAATCGATATTTGTAAATAATCGAAGTTCTGAGACAAAATCGAGTGACCAAAATATCGATTATTCGATCATTGGTTCGATGTTTTTCATCGATGTTGATGGCGGCAAATTAAAGTGTCATCTCAAAAAATTTTGCAATTTTTCTATTCATATTTTCATTTTCTTTCTAACTTTACATTTATTTTTGAAGTTTTAAATTAACCTACTATTTTTGCCTATTATTGCGTATGTAGTGCTGATATTGCCACATTGAAACACCTTATATTTTCATAACAAATATCGATGGCTTTCATCCTACGTTTAATCGACTGCAGCATAACAGCAATACTTGAAACATTGATGCTATGAGGCGATGCCGCAGCCGTAACCCATACGACACGAGTGACGTATTCCCTTGCCAGCTCATTTAGAGTACGTTTACGTTCGATAACAATCCTCGATGTCGATTTGTCACAATTAAGTGCTTTGATAGCTGCCTGGCTATTGGGAAAGACAGTTGGGACAGCTGCTGGGTTGGAGTAAGAGATCGGGACTAAATTCTCCTACCATCCACCCCATCCACTGTGTAATCCATGCGCCTGATCCATGCGCCCGATATGTGTAAGCTTGTCGCCCAAGCGAACAGTCATGCCCAACGTCGGCAGAACTCCATAAGTTCGTCGAGAAAGGGCTCTTGTGCCTGGGAAATGCTGCGCTGATCTCAAGCTGAAGTTGTTATAATATCAACTAATGGGTTGTAAGACTTCATACCCAAAAATTTTCTTAAAATTCAGATTAAAAAGTTACAAATTTTGATGAAAATGTGATGCATTTTTCTAAACTTTGTATAAAATATTTTTATAAATATTTTTATAAAAAAATAACAAAAAAAATATTACCTTATATGCTTTCCAACCGACTATGAGTAATATAACTAGTAGTTTAAGCGATGATGCTCAGCTCGAAACGAGTGTAGCTGCACCCTTCTTCTATGACGACGCTCTCCCCAGCAATCTACGATCACCCTACTAAATGATTTGTAGAGAAATGTGTGCGTTGTTATCGATTCTATGTTGCGGTACTGCGGCAAAGCCATTTACCCCAATAAGCTCCCCTTAAAATCCACTGCTTAACCCAGTCGAGTCTCCTTCAATTGTGATTTTATCTGCTTTCCTGAACTGAGATGGACTAGACATGGTTTTATAATTCCGCATAACTAGTAAACTAACCGTTGGGTAGATTTCATAGTATAAAATTATAACTTTGGAATGACAGTCCTCTTATAAAAAAAAAACGAAAAAAAAAAACAATATCCATCCAACCTAAGCAAGCCCACAACAACATTCAGCTGGTTGCAAGTAATGACAAAGCGATGCAATGGCGTTCGTGCTTTTTGTGGGCGAGTATCATATGAGTTTCCCTGGGTTTTTTTTTTAGTATTTTTGCCTTTTATTGTGTGTTAGTGATATGTAAGTCTGTTTTGCTATGATTACTTTGTTGCTATTTCAGCTATGTATCTATCACAACGATCATTTTTCATTTTTCTACACCCTCCGTTTTTGGGGTTAAATAATTCCAGCCAGGCAGGCAATGGCACAGCATATTGCGCACTCAATATGCGGCAAACAATTTTGAAGCAAAAGCTCTCAGTGGCTGACCTTTTTTCAATATTTTCCATTTGCCGTTGATCAATGCGTTCGCTGCGATCTTGCCGATCTATATATGTAGATACATATGTATGTACATATGTAGGCTTTCACAGATGTTGCCATCGTTGCCCCATTGATGATTGCAGCTGAAGATTGTCGCTGTTACTTTGGCATTCTGTTGACAGCCAGAACCCCAATAATTATGACATTTTTTACTGCAGCCATAAGTTGCTTGCTACTTTTGATGTCTAAAGGAATGCGCCCATGTGGTCATTGCGTAAATCTTTTTACATACACACACACATACAGTGTGATCCACATGTGCTTGCTTGTTCGCCACTTTTGATATTGTCGATGCGAAATTGATCTTATCGCTGATAATCTTTATGAATTAAGCCAAGAACTTGATTAGGCACAGATTTGAAATTGACTGCGTGGAGATAAAGAGCATTTTTTTAATCTTTTTGTCAGCTGTGTCTTTCTTTCTCGAGCTTGCGAGGTCTGTGGCCGCCAATTATTGTTAGATATATTTTCATGAGTGGTTTTGTTTCAAGAGGATAAACTGTTTTTGGAAAACATTCATTTGACTGGCAAGAAGTGTGAGCCTTTTTGTGGCATTTATTTAGCATTTAATTTTACGTCATAGTCTCAGAACTTTAAGTCTCACTTCGTGTTTTTTTCTGGCCATTTTTACTTGAAATATTCATAGCTAAATTCGTCATACTAAAAATCCTTACTATTTCAAAAACTATTGTTTATAGTTCAAATATTACAATGACAGCGCAAAGTATAATTTCTTTGCAAAAATATCATGGTGAAATTATACCAGGTGTAGTAATAAAACCGCCTTATCGCTAAGTTTTCTTGACATGCGGCTATCTTATAGAAATTTTTTCCAGCAAAATTTTCAAATAAGATAGTGTAAAATTCTAATTCCCGATTCTAAACATGTCTACAAACAGGATTTAAGGATTTTTTCCAGAGAAAAACTACTCTAGCAATATCAATCTATATCAAAGGATATAGAAAGTCGACGCTGTACGAATAGAAATTTTGCGTAGGAATTTGAATACGCATTTTACCGGCTCAGAAATGGTAAATAGGCAGGAAAAGGTAGTAAACGTATCTCGATTTTGGTAAAATTTGCTATTTGAGCCACTTTCACTAACGAAAGAACGAGAATGAAAACTGGTAAAAATTGGGAAACTGCCACGCCCACTACACTAGGGGGCGGATATAGTAAATGTTATCCGATTCCAATGAAATTCAGTTTGTAACTTGGATTAAGCTAAGAAGACATATGTACATCTGAAATATAATGAAAATCGGTGAACTGCCACGGCCACCAGCTATCCGAACTTTATATTCTAATGTGGCAAGGACTAGTAACGAACCTCCAAAATAGCAAAAATATGGTGCAAGATTTATTTTTGCACAAAATTCTAGAAATTTAAAAAAAGGTGTGAATTGTCGACCAGCCACGGCCTGCCTCCCGGGAATAGGATATACTACTCCATTTTATTAAAATCGATTCGTATCTTACAAACCGAATTTCGCTGAAATCGGATAACATTTCCCATTCCCGCCCGCTAGTATGGAGGGAGGGGACGTGGCTGGTCGCCAATCCACACAATTTGTTATATATCTCGGTGTTTCAATGCAAAAATATATCTTGCACCAAAGTTTTGCTATTTTGGAGGAATGTTACTAGTCCTTGCCACATTATAATCCAGAATTCGAAAGGCTGGTGGGCATGAAAATTCACCGATTTTTCCCATCTTTAAGATTAGGTTAATCTAAGTTACAAATCGAAAGTGGGCGTGGCAGCACGCTAAATTGAACCATCTTTCATATCTATTCATTCCTAGGCTCGTTACAATTTTCAAAGTCGGAGCGCATTTACTACATTTTGTTACATTTTATATGCAGCTCTTCCACTCTGCGGCGTTTCTCATACGGAATAGAAAGCCTCTGTCAGGGAACGTCACACTATATTCGTTGACAACCATGCGGCATTAAACAAGTTAGGTTCCAGTGTAGTAAAGTTGAGTATCTTTCAGAAATGAGACTCAATAAGAGTCGCATTGAAGAATTACGCTAAATAAGTCTGCAGTCAGGGCTTTTACCGGCGTCGTCACAGGGCACTGTACTATAATAACTAGCACCAATGCTCCGTCGATGGCATACACCTAAAAGCTCCCCCTGCAGAAGTTGTCGGGATGAGGAAGGAAAGGAATTGATTCACCACTTTCTGTGTCGATTCCCAGCTCTTCGGACAAGATTCTCAAGCGCTTTCAATAGTTCGTTTTCAATAGTTTCGGGGGATAAATGGTTTAACAGACTGTATACTGACAAGATGGAATAACCCCGGCTAGAAGGATGTGCCTTTTCCTGGCACTCATAGAGAGTATTTACCATGGGATAGTTTGCCTCCGATTGGAAGTACGAGTCATTCGTATGCGCCTAGAATCCCACCTAATACTCTTTCTTCTTTTTCTTCTTATTCGGCGCTGTAAACGCCTAAGCGATTTTGCCCGAGTTCAACAAAGCACGCCTTTCACCTTGCAGAATAAATATCGTTTCCATTTTTTGGGTTTTTAGAAGTTTTCACAAAAATGAGATTTCTATACAAAAATCCACCTTATACTTAACTTTTATCGATAATGTTAAGGCTGGCCTTGTATATCGCTTGTCAGAAGAATTAACTATTTAATTCCAAAATTAAAATTGCACCCAGTGATGACAGTTAAGCTTCAGATAGATTTTAACACCAGAAAGTCGTTTTTGTGTAAACTGCAGATATGTAGGTGTATTGAATATAGTAAGCCCCCGATATATTTAATTTAAAATCAACATCATTTTGTAGTACAGTGATCTCAATTAGTTGACCGTAGCTGTATAAAGTACATGTAAATATGTATGTAAGTTATTACAATTTGACTTACCTCTTTTTAGTTAGCAGCGTCAAACATAATCCTTTTTGAATTGAAAAGAACTGAGTCGTTGGTTTAAAGCTGTCTTTTTTATGTAAATTTATTGAGTTTTTGCTTTTGTATTTTGATTACCATTAACTTAGTTTTTAAAATTTTGATTGAAACAAAGCTTTATATTTAATCCTCTATTGTGGTACTTAAAGTTAGCTTGCTGGAATCAGATGTGTTTTGGCATAAAAAGTTATTAATTTTTCATTAAATATTTTTGCATATTTTTAAAAAATATTTTTAGTATTTTATTCAAAATGTACACTTCCATTTGATTTTGTCTATTACATATGTATGTATTTCCACACACACATTAGCAAGCAGCACTATTTTGTTTGTTGTTACTGTGTAACGTGATGCTGGGTTAAAAAAAAAAATGTTGCACTGCTGGCGTTGATTTTATTAAAACTTTTATTTATTTGCACAACACTCACAGCTTTTTCCTCAATAAATAGTCAACTGCTCGCAACGCTTGGATAGTTTTTTTCGTTTTTATAAGTGCTATTACTCGTACGAGCTTGTGAATAAATTTGTTCTTTTCTTTATTCCTTTCGCAGCTTAAACACGCCAGCACTCGTCGAATGATAAATTAGTAGATAAACAAATAGCGAAAACGATGCCATAAAAAACGCAAAACAAACAAAAAAAATTTAAAATTAGAAGCCTTTAGCTTTCGAAAACAGCCAAGAGAAAACAGAAACCAACGCAACACAACCTCGAAACAGTACTGACATCTAGCTGAGGATACAAATGAATCCGTACCAATCGGTGGGCCACAACTGGCTTAGCGATTTTTGTACGAGTATGTCCCTGATGACTTCGCCGCCACCGCCGCAGTTGCTCGGTGCTGCAGAGACCGACGATTGCAAATCGTGCCTAGCGAGTATTCTTCTTTGGATACCTTGGTTCGCTGATTTTGCTTCTACTACAACTTGGCTGTGTGAGAGTGTGTATATGATTTCGTTTGGCTAGCTCGTGGATGGATACAACATAGATTCACTACTGTTACTAGCGCTGTTAATTGGCTGATGGACTCTACCGACCGGCGACGCAGCCCATTGTTAGTACATATTTACAACTACGACTACAACTAGTTATTGTTGCTATCGTTAGGGATATGTATGTAGGTACTTATGTTTGTTTATTTAGACATTTCATATCGCAAATGAAGATATACTCGCCCGAGGGAAATGGGAGAAAAGTGCCACTTTGCCGTTACTGTATTCGTATTGAAGTGTTGCTACGAATTTTTTGAGGAGCAAACTCTAGTTACGAGTAAGTTTAATAGACACCGGGATACTCTCACGGATACAAATGAGCTAGTTATTGCTCAGACGTATGAATAACTGAATGAAGCAAAGCTGCAATTAGTTACTAGCACAACTAGTATATTAGACACTCGTCGTTGTTGGAGTTCTTGCATCACGTAACGAAGGGTACCTACACTTTATAGGAAATAGTTCACTTAACTTTTAGACACAAAATACCTTTTTTTTTGATGCAAATATCACTTTGAGTACCGCTTTAGCGAACACATTAATTATTTTTGCATTTGTAAATTACTTCACTTTTATCTAATAAAATATACGCCACTTAAACTATTTAGTTATTTATTTTAATAATTTCAAATACTGTTCAGTCCTTTAAATGCATCTAATCTTGTATTGTGGATGCCTCGCCTTAATGCACGTTGGACTTTGGGACGGATGTGATTGGGGCTCGCGGGCACAGCGCACACGGATTGTGTAGCTGTGATTGCTTGCTTGGGGTTGCGATACGATTATGGCTGGATAAATGAATCGAAGTGAAATGTAACGAAATGCAGTTTGAGTGCTGCAATAATGTGCCGGCGACACATCTGTCTACTAAGCCGACAGCGACGCTGTCGTTGCTGACGCAGCCGAACAGCATGCGAGCGTGGAGCGCAAGTGGGCGCATTACTACTCTGTGGGAGCTTTGACATTTCATTTCGCATATTTGATTTGCACACGCTTTAGTTGCTCGTTGGTAATGTACGTCGAATGAGAGCAGCATTGAAATTTGTAGTAGCTTTGTCGTTGTTATTTACAGTGCGTACAGTGGGCTTTTTGTAAAAACGAATACATTAAAAATACATTGCACGTTGATTGCATAAACCACTGATATACGATACCCAAAGGCCGAATGAATCCGCTAGCTAGACAATTGATATGATCGAAATTGTACCCTGATTCAGTAATGCGGGTTAAGGAGACGCGAGGTCGTGGATTCGAGTCTCACAGCCAGTTGAATTTTCATTTATTTTTTATTTTTTTATTTCTTCAGTTATACTATTTTTTATATTGTTTTAATGCAGTAATTAATGTTTTTGTAGACTTTTTAATATAATTAAACTCCAATCATTTAAATAAACTAATAATAAAATTAATGATATGAAATAAAATTAAACAAAAAAATAGAATAAAATAACAATCGATTGACAATCGCTCAAATCGAGAATCGAACCTGGGTCTTACGGAAAAGTAGTATGCAGCTCCCACCGCTCGGATGCGGCGGACGGCGAATTGGCTTGCTTTCTTTGCTTACTTGTTCAATAAACAAAAGCTACTTCGTATTAACGAGTCAAACCGCATCAACGCTGCCGACTGTCAATACTTTTAGGGACCTTTTTGGTAAGACCATATTTTTGTCACCGGACGAAAAAACTTAATAGCCAGTTTTAAAACATTTAATGAGTTCTTCAGAGATCGTAGTAAAGGGGAGTCGGCGAGATTTAGCCCTGTGCAGTAGATTCTTCTCAACACTCCTCAGCCAATATCTCTAAATTTATTTTATAGACGATTTCTTTCGCCGTACATTTTTAATCGCCGCTTAATACTTTCGAAAAGACCCACTGTGCATAAGATTTCTTGCTATTTTAGCTGAGTAAAGAAATTGCATGCCATTTATACACACACAAACAAGTATGTATGTATGTATTTACGTACACACTATGTATACTTATATGTACATACATACAAATGTACTCTCTCACCTGTACTGCTACACATGGCATTCGTTACTCTCAACTCATAGACCCAACAATCGCCCCATCATTCATACATTTTTATTTTGAAGAAAATAAGAAGCGACGAGAAGCTTCGCATTGCTACGAAACGTAAAAAAAGAAGATATTATTCTCTTCTCATAGTACCCACTCTAGCTCTAGCTCCTCAAAGGCAAATGATAAGAGCCAGTAAAGAGACCAAACAAACAACTTGACTTTTATTCATGTATACAAATGTATTTCTATATCTACCCTACCGTTCTACAAACTTTTATAAGAATTCTTTAAAGATTTCGTAACCACATCGTTGTGCTCTGGTGCTTCGCATTCGCTGCTGACTTCTTGCCGATCGCCTGCGAGCGCCACCAGCGCGCGATAAGTCAAAAGCAGCAAAGTGCAGCAACAGCATGCAATTGTCTCTGCAAAGCCAGCCAGCAGCGCGACAAAACACTCCTCACCTGCACTGCAAACCGCATAAGACACCAACCTCACCATCACCGCCAACAGCTACCCCCACTACCCTTTCTCCACTCGATCGCTACATTTGCTCCACTTGCGCTCCACTTGCAGCGCTACTGCAACGAAACGAAACCAAAACTGCTGTCTCAGCGATCGCCTTGCAGCTGAGCTTTGCGCGACACGAACAAGGCTAAAGCAATGCCGTCGTCGTCGTCGTTAGCAGCTATCGCGGCTGAGGTAGCGGGGGAAGTTGGATTGGGGTGCATTGCGAAATCTGGCAATAATGCAATTGCACTGCTGTGATCGCTGTTCCTCGCTGCTGTTGTTGCTGTTGCTGTTGTTGTCGTTATTGTTGCTGGTGGTGGTGGTGGTGGTGCTGTGGCTGCAGTTGCATTGGCTGCCGTCGTCATTGTCCTCGTTTGGCTTTAGCTATCTCAGCGTTTTTTTGCCGCTGGAAAAATTGTCGGTTCAAAGTGCCGAAATAGCTGGTAAGTACTGCGGCAGTTGCACAAATATTGTCTGTGAGTGTGTGTGCCGGGTTGAAAATTGCAGCAACAGCGCCAACGAGTAGATTTCTCCTGTTTGCAATTCTTTTGAATTGAGGTAATTGAGGCGCATAGCTTTTATGATTTTTTTTTTTGCGTGGAGTCTCGGAGCCGCATGGGGTATTTCGTAAGGGCAGTACAGTCCGTGCTGTGGCGGTTTTGGTTTCTTGTTTATTTTGAAATGAGCTAATCAAGCTGCTGACGTTTCTAGGAGCAGCTTTTTCATCACAGAAAGACACTCAAATGTTTGTCATTTCTTGCTGAGAAACAATTCCAAGCTACGGTAAGGACAGGCTGAATTGGGTTATGTTAAGGTGGTTAGCCCAAATAGAGGTGCGCTTGGGTAATAAACATCCGCTCTTTGTGATGCCACTACGAGCGGAAACTTCGAAACTATAACGAAAAGCGCTGAGTGTCTTTAGGACAAAATTTCTCTGGTGGCAGACGTCAGTCGCACAGAGCTAATCAGAGCTGTAAAAAGTAGGACCCAAGGTGTTTAGAATGCAGTTTAGCAAAAGCTAGGTAGCTTAAGAGAAAATATTGAGATGACTCTACCATGCTAATCTCCAAGCAGGTGCGTTGGTGTGGCTCCGGTGTGATATATAGCCCACCGTGAATGCCAATCGGAGACTGTCATGTCAATACACCCACCATAGTAAAGAATTTCTTTCTTTATGAGCCCAACGGATCTGCCCTAATCTGGTTCACCTTCGGCCAGAGAGACCCTTCAGTTGCATATGCTTTGGTTTTCGCCCGGCACTCGCTGAGCTGACACGACACCCACCTGCCCCAAAATAGTCCAATTGTGTTCGAAAGCACTCTAATTCTTTCTTTTTGTGATGAAACTGATTCGAGACTGACTTTCCTGGGAGGTTCATCAACTCTTTGGCAAAATACTCGGCTTACTCGAAATGCCACTGTGGTCTTCAAAATATTCAAATGAAACAAAATGAGAGTTCAGGTATTCCCCTACTACCGGTGGGCGCACCGTGAGCCAGCCCAAGGCACTGAATATCACTTTACTATCAGCGTAGATATTTATCTTCCTTGTCGACGTCACGCGATTAAGCAGCCAACTGAGTGCCTCCTTCTTCGGCTATCACTACCAAGAAAACGCTACAATGATCTAGATTTTAGGTTAGAGGAGAGCTCACTGCAAAGGATCCGGTGTAGGGGTTCCCCGATGCCTCCTTCCAACTACTGCCTACCGTCCACTCATTTCTGATGGGAATGCTAATGTGGAGAAAGAATTGATTGGTGTCAGCCTAGCTACGCAGTGATTTGTGTTACCAAGGATACAGTAGAAGCGTTAACTTTTCTGCTTGACTCCATCAGAAAACACAAGGCGAATGCGTACAATCGAGGATAGAGTCACGGATGGTCTGTTATGCTTTCTAGTGAAGAAGACGAGTTCCCTCTCTCTAGTATTTACAGCGATTCTACTGTTTGTAGAAAATTTAGTTGCCAGGTTCCATAACCATTGGAAAATGTGCAGGTGCAGGTAAATCAGCCTCTCCATTGGTTTGAAATCCTGAGTGATGTTTAAGTTTTTGCTGGCCTTCGGTATTAGTGCCACCCAGACCACTCTGCAAGCCGTGGGGATACTCCTTCGTACGGACAACGAACCGTTGACTCGTCGAAGCGTGGTAAGCATCTTTGCCAGGAACCGAACATAACAGTTATTGATGAAAACTGTCATGACAAAAAATCACTATGAAGGAAATGTACTAAAACTAAGTGATACATACAAATTTTATGGAAAATTAAAAAAAGAACAGTTATTTTTGATTTTTATATTGTAAATCCAAAATAACCATTATTATTGATTCTGATATTAAATGTCTTAGCTAACAGTTATTGAAGACTTTTATTAATAAAAGTCATCAATAAAAATCAGTAAGTGACTTAATGGTCAGGAATATAAATCAGTCAACGACTTTTATTTTTTAAATAATTCGTATAAAATTCATTAACATTTTTCGCAGTTAAGAAGGCGTTGGGAAACAAAATTTTAGTACGACGTATACAAATGACTTTTATAAGTATGATTAAAATATTTAAGGCCCGTTGCTGACTTTTATTTATGACTTTTACAAATAAAAATCTTCATATAATTTGAAAATCAAAAATAACTGTTATTTGTAGATTATTTAGATATAAATCAAAAATAATTTTTATTTTGGGTTTATAAAATAGAAGTCAGAAATAACCGTTATTTGAGGAGTAATTAAATAAAAGTAAAAAAATAATTATTAAAGAGCGATTTTTTAAATAAAAGTTGTAACTGTTACGGTCCCCGATCTTTGAACAATCACATTCAGCGAGATGCTGTGGGACTCAGTTACTTGTCTAACTTTTTGGAAGTTCTAATAACTTTCGAAGGAAACTTTGAAATTTGGAGAAACAAAAAATTGTTTATCACTTGTAAAGGTTTGTCATTTTATTTAGAACCAAGCTGAGA